AGAGAATTTTCAGGCTAGTGGAAGAGTTTTTTTCAGGCTTCTCAGAATGTTTATTCAAAATTCATAGATCGGCAACGGTTCTCTCTGAATTGTTTAAAGTAATTTTGAGAACCGTTGATTCTTTTGTAAGGTGGTCTCAGAATCACCCAGTGATGGAAATGTATGTTTTGTTTAAATAGGAAAAGATTACGATTCTCTTCACTCCAATGGCCCTAATTTGAATACAGTTTATTCACAGATAACTCTCTCCCTACTTAGAAGTGTAATAGTGGCAATGTTTGGTGTGCTCTACAATTCATAGGTAAGGGCCATTTCTCCTTAGGGGAATGCCTGGTTATTGAAAAAGAATCACCACTTAGAAGTGCCTTCCTCATAAACAAACCATCCTTAAATCAAAATTAGTGGCTGTCCCTTGTAATAAAAAAGCATTCTATGGCTTGCTTACTTTAGATTAATATAACAAAAGAGGCTGCATGACCTTTTGTAAAAGGTCAAAAGCACCCCAAGTTAGCTGTAAAATTGAAATGACTTTGTTTATGAATGACCTATTCATAATTAGAAACTAGTAAGAGTTTTATGGACTTAAAAGCACTGTATTAGCATGGGCTTGCATTCCTCTTGTAGGTTATATTGCAAAAGAAACATTGTACAATGAGATTGTTTGCCTTTTGTTTAGGGTCTAGAAGATAAAAGGAAAAAAGAACAAAGAAAAAAAAGAATACTACTCCATACTGTTCGATGTAAAATTGGATGGGCTTGGGTGTGCCATTCTCTCCACAGAAAGTTTGAGTGAGGTTAATGATGTAGTCTCACTTGTCCACTTTCAAGGGTGATGGCTTCGGGTGTATTTAAAACTTTTTGTACAGAAAATAAATTGTTTTGTTTGATTATATTCTCATGACAAGGATTTATGTTGGCTTTGTTAACATCTTAAGCCTTGTTTCGAAATCTTGGTAGTCATGTTCAAGGAATATCTTTGTTCCCTTTATGAACAATAATAAAAGGTTGAAGTTTCTCTTGAGCTTAGGCTTTTATGAAAACAAAATAAAGCCCCATCTTAAATCCTCATCTAGAAAGCACTTTTGGCATAAAAAATCTTCATGATGGCTCTAAAATCAATTTCCAACACCGACAATAAAATTTGAAACTAAAAAATGATATAGATCTTGTGGAGCTGTGAACACTTGTTTTTAGGGTAAAATGGGCAATATATACTTTTTAGAATTTGAAATCCGAAATTTTTTTTACAACCATAGTCCAAGTTGAGATGATCGATTTAAATATTTTCCAACACTTGAATTGCAATTTTTGATAGGGATACAGCCCTATCAAACCATTTTTTCATAATAAAAAGGGCAATCTTTGGGTTGTTAGAGAAATTTTTTCTGTTGAATTCACAGGAGTTTTGCCGATTGCATGCTTGTAGAAATTTGAAATCTCATTGATGGTAGCATGCCACTGAGCATGCTACCCACTCAGTGCAAACATAAGGTGTGATATTTAAATGGCTAAAAATTGGTGCATCCAATGAGACCTTATTGTTTGTTGACCTACTGCTTATGTTGTATAGTGGGAGCCATTTTTAACCCACGACCATGAGATCATCTCTGATCACTGGGACCAGTCATCCTAATCTGCCATGAGCAAGGTCAACTGCTTCATTGTGAAGGGCAAAAAATGTGCACAAAAATATTCACTTAGGAAGCCATTTATAATTGGGAAGTAATTCTGATTTATGTTGACAAAAAAATGGTTAATGTTGTGATTCGATCATTACCTTGATGGCAATGCTAAGTCTCAAATTCCAATCCCACACTAACCTACCCGTGTTAGAAAAGAAAAAGAATAATTGCTAAATGAAGTAGGTTAGGAGATATTGATTGGATAGTCGGAAGTGAGTCAACAACAATGTTGCACGCTCGTACTATCGATTGTTTTTAATCATTAATTAATATGTGATATTGATATCATTTTGGCTCACAAAGATCATGTGCAAAGACAAGTCGAAAGCTTGCTCTGAAGAGAAAAAGTTAGTCGAACAAAGGACATTGGTATCAGGGAAAATATAAACTATGGATTTATAGTTAAGTATGAAGAGAGCTCCAAAATTTATAGCTAGAGAAATATGTTGGGGCTGATATTCTACATGACATCTTTGATTTGGAACATAAATAATTACAAAAGAGAATGTTGAGTTCTTAAAGGCTTAGATTCATTGTCCAGAAAATGAACAACCTACATCTACTAAAAAAGTAATTCGTGTTTTCCCTATATTTTTTGTGAATTTATTGTTTTATTGGGAATTTTTATCAAAATACACATTAGAGATTAAGGATTTAACATTTTGCCTATTTGCGACTATTTCAAGTCAAGACTCTATTTTTCTATGGGTATTTTGAAAATAAATTAAAATATATAGGCAAAAAGTATTAAATTCTTCATCTCTTACAGGTAATTTGATAAAAATTTTCAAAATTTACATTTTGCCCATTTGCAACTATTCAACGATATTTTTCCATGGGTATTTTGAAAATAAATTAAAATATATAGGCAAAAAAATGTTAAATTGTTCATCAGGTAATTTGATAAATTTTCCCAAAATTTAGAATCCAGCAAGCTTCTACTTGGCCTGAGTGTACACCAATTGACTCATGTAGCCTTTTTCAATTATATTAAACTTATATTGGAGAACAAATGGCCGACAATTTAAATAGCAATCAAATTATGAGTCCCAATAAGAGGTCCAATTTGGTGGCTTCATAGTATTTTCAACCCATTTATAGGTGTTCATGTCTTCAATGTGACTAAAGAGGTCATTCAATTGTCAACTATTAAGTGACCTAAACCTCTTTCTTTTCATTCAAAAGGATTCTATATTGATCCTTTCCCATGTAAATAGGCTACCTAGTCTAAGATAAAGCTTTCTAGTGTCTATTGCAACCAATATTTCCTTTAAATGACTTGAGACTCTAACCACTTTTTTTGTTTTTTCCTTCTACATTGTCAACCTAAACATAGGTAGTAATGATATTGTTTCTACAAATCATCAACCATTATGTCTCCCTTTTCAATACCTCTTCAAAGGTAATGACAATTGTGCTCCCTTTTTGCCAAGGCAAGGAACATTTTTCTCTTTCTATGGATCTTAGTTTATTCTAAACAAACAACAAGATTCCTCTCACACACCAAATGTCACACCACTGAGCAACAACTCCCCCTCACTCCCAACAATGGAATATATTGCCCCCAAACATCTTTTTTGTTTTTTTGGTTATTTTTGGGGTTTTTCTTAAGGGTACGTAAGTGGGGGGAGAAGCCCCTATCCGATTTTTCATTAATAATAAGAAAAAAATACAGCTCATAAAGTTACAACCTTAGAATAAGGCAGATGTGCCACGTTATACAGTAACACAAGAAAAAAAAAATCCCATGGTCTAGATCACCAAACAATGGCCTCTGAAAAAGCTGTGGCTTTCTTAGTAGCAACAATATTGAGCACCCATGTATTTTTGGGTCTTTATCATGTGTGTCAATCAAATTGAGAGGTGATATATGAAGCATGTGCAAAAAAATAAATTTATTTATCGCAATGGCATCTGAAAAAGTCGTGGCTTTCTTAGTGGCAACAATAGAGCACCCATGTATTTTTGGGTCTTTATCATGTGTGTCAATCAAATTGAGAGAGGGGATATATGAAGGATGTGCAAAAAAACACCACCCCAACCTCTCTGATTTGCTTCTTATTTATTTGGTTGGTCTCAGTTCTAAATTGGTCAAATACATTGATACTATAAGTAAAAAATTGGTTAAATACAATGGCGTATTATTCAGAACAATAATACAATGTGGGTGCAACGAATGGGATCGAAATCATGCATCAATGG